AAATATTCTAACATTTTACAATAGTTACATTTGTCAGCATTAGTTAATGCATTAGGTATCAAACTAACAATGAACAATTTTTTTACAGCATTTATTAATCAATTTTCATTCAATTAAGTAAAAAAAAAAAAAAGTTCTATATATACATATATATATGATTTATTAATATATAAATTTAATATTGTTAATTTGTAAATATACTATTTTTCATTGTTAATTCATGTTAAATATTTATATTATGTTTGTGTGTATATATATATATATATATATATATATATTAGTGCTGTCAAATATATCATAGATTGTTAATTTATATCGCTTGACATGTTAGCATATGTAAAAATTACCATTAATATTTTGGAATTAATACATGTAAAAGTATTTACTTTTAAAAGTGTAAAAGTATTTTTTGTTATTAGTAGTTCATGATACAGAAAGCATTAACAAATACTGACAAATTCAACCTTATTATAAAGTGCTGCTGTTTTACTAGGGATGTTACTCGACTAATCAATTACTTTTCAGATTGTGGTTGGTTGCTTTAAAAGCTATTCATTTGGCCTTTTGCATGAGCAAGCATTTCTTAAACAAAATAAGCTGCAGTCAGACCCATCAAAACATCAGAAGTTGAATCTTTGGATTAATAACTCATTTTGCATACCTGATCATGGTATAATTGTATAAAAGGATCTGAAGCCACTTCTTTCTTTCAGCTCAAGGTCCTCAGATACAGTCCGCACAGACAGTCACAGACAGTCACCGCTTGGGCGGCTGGGCTGAAGAGGAAGAGGAGGAGCAGGTGGACGAGGAAGAGATAAATACCAGCCCTGTGCCGGATCAGACCAGCAGAGGGAGCAGCTGAAGTGCCTTCAACCTGTACAGTGCGTTCCACAGGATTCAATTTGGACTCAGACTAGTTAATATCACTACATATGAAGGTCTAATTAGTGTTTCAATGCAAAATGACTCAATATGATTTCATATTGCTTTTTTAACATCATCTTTCTTTCTGGTTTGCAGTTTTTGTTCATTTCTAGGAGTTGTGGCCTTACTTTGGTTTGACACCCTTTGATCAAGCATGTTGGGACGCCACACCGAGCATGTCGCTCAAGGAGCTCGTCGGAGCCGTTCGGTTCTCTGGACGCAGAGGAACTGTGACGTAACGGGCTGCCACTTCCCCTCCCTCGTCACGTCACGTCAGTTACATTTACATTTCAGACTGCTGTGTGTTTGTTTCGTTTGACACAACAGGGTGACACTTGTTTTACAGTATTTATTTCCATTTCATTTTCTTTCATGCAACGTTTGTTTTATTTGGGTTAGAGCAAGTTATGTTTTCCGCGTCTCTGATTCGAAGGCGAGTCGGGCAGTATTTACTTTTGAAGCGCTGCCTCGGTTTGCAGGATGAAAACATCCTTTTATCGTAGTATTGCTAGTTTCATTTTTGCATTACAGCATCGGCGGACAGAAAATATCACTGAATGTAAAATCATACCAGTTGCCTCGTGGGGAAAAAAAAATTGTCACTAAGTTATAAAACATGATTTTTTTTTTTCTTAAAGAAAATATAATATAGACTTGGGGATAATTTTCGCCTAAAGAAACATTTTATTTAAATTTAAAAGTCATTCGCATTTGCAGACGTTTTGACAAATCTTAACAATAACCTCTTAGCCTGAGATTAAAAAAAATGTTAAATTTAAACGAGAAAAAAGATTTTAGCAATAAAACTGATTGATGTAGAAGTAATAAATAAATAAAAATGAAGTCTTGTTTTTGCGGTTTTTCTAAAACGTAGGTCTGTCATGAGCATTTCATCTACAGCAACAAATATATTAAAACATCTTAGACGACCATATGACTGCATTAAAGGATTTTTGTTATTTAAATTATTCTAAAGCTATAGGAAGGATTAACTATCAAACTTAAGAGTTAATGTGGAAAACCCGATAAACTTATTAAAATGAAAGCATTTTTTTTTTAAAAGCCAGACATTAATCCCAGTTCACAGCCATTGAAATATTATTTCTAGACTACTTGTTCAGCTCGTAAACGGCAGATTAGCACATTATTTAACCACTTAAGAAGTTCAAATGAAACACTTTAAGGTTAAAGTCAGTTTGAAGGTGTTAGTGTTATGTTTTTGAGCTCGGTTTAGGATTTGTGCTCTGTACCCAACCGATAACAGTCTCTTCCAGCGTGTTGAATTAAATATTACACATTTGACAGATGATCTTTCAAGCCGAATCCCAGAATTCATCAGTTTAAGCAGTTAATGTCGTGTGTCCGAGTCTGTGTCAACCCAAACCTGAAGGGTATGAGTTTGTGTGTTGCCTGCGTTAAGAGTTCAGTCAGGTTTCAAACTAGAATCTCCCGTTATCCAGAACAAAATAGTTGTAACTAATGTGCTTTCTCAAAGCGCAGGAACGTTCGTCTCTGTAATATATCACTACCACGAGAGCCTAAGGGCTTTTGACAGTTTACACATGGTATATGTCACAGAGATATAGCCACAATTCATGTGAAACACTGAACTTCCTGTGCATCTACTTGAAATACTACAGTTAGAGAGTAGCTTCAAGCGTAGTTCGTAAAGATAACGGCATCCATATCACACCCACTGAAATACCTCCGGATGTACCTTAAGACCGTGTATGTACAGTATTTATTTGTGTGGGATGTTATTGAACGAACGGCATCAGGATGTAGTTGCAGACGTGCTGTTTGCAGTGCTACAGGATTGGAGGGTTTTTCCACACAAGACTGAACTGCGTAAGTGAAACACATTGTTTTACAGCTCTGTTATCTTAATGTTCCGTTTAAACAGTCTGGGGTCGGACTGTGCCAGGTGCTATAAATATATATATATATATATATATATATATATGTATATTTAATTAGTTTCGATATTTATCGCTTTTTGTTGGATTTTGACTTTTTTGTCTGATCAAAATAACACTATCAAAAAATAAACCATAGCAAAACCGGGATTTGCTGTCTTGGTCTATCTTTGCAAGCACTAGTGCTATTCTAGTATTACTTGTAAACAATTGTAGTATTTATGTTTTTAATTATTCTTTACTGCTATATTTTTAATAACAGCACTGTCAGGCACATAAACAAAAACATAAACGGACAAAAGCAGCACTGGATCACATACAGAATCAACAGACAGACAACATGTTAAGAGATGGTTAAATATATTATGTTTATTATACTGGTTCATTTACATGTCACAACTCTCTGTTTTAAAATTGTGATACCTGTACTAGAAATCCCATTGTAGTTTATATAAAACAATACAATAATACATTGTAGCTGAAGTGCAGGAAACATGACGGAAGATGATATTTGCCTTTTACCATATTGTACTGTAGTGAAGCTGAAGCACCCCAAAACGTACTTGGACACTGAAAAATGTTACTGCATTAGAACTAAATAGCTTTTTCCAAGCCATTTTTCAACCAACAGGCCCCAAGGTGTTTTTTAGTTCATCACATTAAGATATGAAACTCCTTTTGTCTTCATTTTGCACGGTGTATCTATTGGTTTACCATTTAACACCTAACAACTTCATTTTGTGACATGTTTCGCTTTGAAAGTGTGCTTGTGCTATATTTCTTTAAAATAAATGCCCCTTGGTTCGATAATTTTTATCTAATGCGATGACATTAAGACATTTTTATAGGAATAGTTCTCCCAAAAATGAAAATTTGCCATCCAAGATGTAGATGAGTTTGTTTCATTGATACAGATTTAGAGAAATGTAGCATTATATCACTTGCTCAGCAATGGATCCTCTGCAGTGAATGGGTGCCGTCAGAATGAGAGTCCAAACAGCTGATAAAAACATCACAGTAATACACAAGTAATCCAAAAAAATTGTAATAAACAAATCCATCAAGACATTTTTAACTTCAAACTGTTGTTTCCAGCTAAAATACCAGTCCATAATCCATAAAGCATCCTCCAGTAAAAAAGTTGTCTCGTCTGTATCAGAAGAGATGACCTTCACTGGAGGAAGAGTTATTATGGACAAGTATTTTAGCCTGAAGCAACAGTATGAAGTTATAAACCGTTTTAATGATGGATTGGTTTCTTGCAAACACACAGCAGCTTTTCGCTTCTCAAGATGTTAATTGATGGACTGGAGTGGTTTATCAGTTGTTTGGACTCTCATTCTGACGGCACCCATTCACTGCAGAGGATCCATTGGTGAGCAAGTGATGGAATGCTACATTTCTCCAAATCTGTTCCTGATGAAGAAACAAACTCATCTATATCTTGGATGGCCTGAGGATGAGGAAATTCTCAGCAAATTTTCATTTTGGGTGAGCTATTGCTTCCTAGTGTCCAGATACTTTTGGGGCTATATTTGAACATGTATATCTGAGCAGTTCATGCAAGAAAAGGAAGACACACTTCTAGGTTGACCCCCAAAACATGAAAGAATCAAATCGAAGCGTTTGAGTAATATGTCAAGTTTTGAAACAGTATCATCTAAAATAATTGAATATTTTCTAGTGAATGTGGAACTGTGATCTATTTTTAATGCTCATTATATTTAATATGAGCGTGTAACTCGTCAAGAGCTTTTCAGCGACTGATGATTTGATTTTCACATCAACACATCGCATACAGTCTTTGCCACTTAAGGTAATGAATTCGCTCCTGGAGGAAACAATCTGATGAATGGATTCACATGTGGGATTGGATAAGTAAAGCTTTACACATGAAATGTGTCATTCATAAATCTAAATAGTACTCAATAACCTCCCATCTCATCACTGCCTACACTCTAAAAAATGCTGGGTTAAATACAGCCCAGTGCTGGGTAAAATAGGGACAAACCCAGCAATTGGGCTGTTTTGACCCAGCGGTTGGGTTAAATGTTTAACCCAACCTTCTGGGTAGTAACCCAACCGCTGGGTCAAAACAACCCAATTGCTGGGTTTGTCCCTATTTTACCCAGCACTGGGTTATATTTAACCCAGCATTTTTTAGAGTGTAGTGGATGGAAGTCGAAATAAATAGAGTAACATCAGCGTGTCTAAATAAAACGGCATGATTGCTGGTAACTCAGGTTGTACCGAAAGCATCTGGTTCCTTCTGTTTACCTGACAGCTAATAATTAAGACTTGAAGGTAATATACGGTATTCATTAACATATTATTGCACTTATATACACAAAATATGAACAGAGACAAACATTCGGAATGATTACATATTTTCGAGTACTATCGCAGGGCTGAATTCAGTCAAACCGCGGTTGAAGCTCACACGATTATTGTACAAAAAAAGTGCCAAAATAGATTTAAACCTTGGCCAAACCGACTGTATCTATAACAATTTTTGTGCAATATTAAAATGCTTTCTTTTTCAGATTCGTTTAAGGTCGGCTTGATCAAATTAGGCCCACGGTGTTCGTACAGGATTCAGAAAAGCACAGAGGAAAAAATACTCTCTCGGGTGAAATACCGTCACAGTATTTGTACGTTTGAAATCGTCCGAAAAGAAATGCCATGAAATCTACCAGGATTTTCCACAAAGTCAAACAAAGAGCGGCTGTGATGTTAATAAAACCTGAGTTTTGTTTTGGAAGTGTTGCCTATTTGTACTTGATGATGATATATCGATTCTATTAAGGTGTTTTTTTTTTTTACTATTTAACATGTACATTTTCGTGGACTTACACTTCTTTCGGAGTCTGTCCGATATATATTTCACAGTTTTCCGTCGTATCCTAAACCGTCCCGTCGCCTGCGTCATCAACAAGCGAATTCCTCGAAGTTGCCTATAGCCGGGTGACTAGGTAGCACGTTCGGCGCGAATCCGAGACTGTCTGAGTGACTCCGGAGTGTGTCGCATGTGCTCTGAAAGAGAGGAAACGGGAGATTTGGAGGGGTGGGAGGGATACGAGGAAATCAGATGAGGGTTGAGATGAATTCATGTCAGTGACACCCATTAATAACAATGGAAGTAAGTATGGGAGTGAAATAAACAAGGGGATGTGAATAAAACAGAACATCAATAATGAAGGATGCAAGTTGGATAAAAAGAAGGAAAAAATCATGGGTATGGATGGAGGGGAGTGGGGAAAGAAGACGTTTTCTTAGTTTTGTTTCTGTAGCTCTGGAAATCTACCAGCGAACTTTGCAATCACAACTCAGTAGGATGCATAGAAATAATTCAGCGTCAATTCAATGTACTCAATGTATGTAGACCTGTGATGACACCACAAAGAGATGCATCTAGTGATGTTATTGAACACAGGTCTCATCACAATAAAACAATGGAAGCCATTTAGCCTTTCAGGCTCAAATTTGGATCAAACTGCATAAATCAATAGATTTACCTTCCCCCTTGACTTTATAGTAAAGTCACTGTTAAATTTAATACATTAATATATAAGCTGTTAAGTTTGTAATTCATTTTTATAATACATTTTGTATACATTTCTTGAATAGATTTTTAAGTTCCTAATTTCTATATTTTAAGGTATGAATTTATATATTTAGGTGCCGTGCTGTTGATTGGCACATTTGAATTTTTTACTAGTTCTTCAGTTTGTAAAAGCAAGAAAAAGTAAATTCAAGAAAATAATGCAGCTTGTATATCTGTATCTGTAAAAAAATGAAAAAAAAAATAAATGCAGCTTGTATATTTCTACACTCTATATACATAAAATTAAATAAAAATTAAATGCAGCTTTTATATTTGTTCAAATACTTCTATTAATTATAATATGTATAAAAATGTGCTTTATATGAGTTGTAAATTTGAGCATTAGTGAGTGATTTTACATACTAGGTCTTCAGATAAAAAAATTAAATATTAAAACAAAATAAAACCGTTTGTATTTTTTGGATAAATAAAATGCAGTTTGTATATAGTATATAAATAAATAAAACTGTGTGTAATTGTAATGTTTATATGCAGGTGCAATGTCTTGCATAGACTTTGCATCATTGTGCACGTAATTTGTGCTTGTTTTCATGAACCAAAGGATGAACTGAAATCATTTGTGGTAATTAACAGCTCATCACATATGCTAAAAACAGAGTTTCAGCTGTATTGAGACTGCAAATGTTTAAAAAAGCCCCTGTATTTCGACTGCTAAAAATAATATGATAAAAAAGATAAAAACAGCAGTTTCACAAAGAAACACAGCAGCAGTAATTCCTCTGGCAAGTAGGCTTATTTTTCATATTTCATAAGCCGAAGCTTGTAGACAGACTTTATGAAAGGTTTCGTTGGCTGAAAATAATTGCTCTGTCTGAAATAAACCAATAAAGCTGCAGCTCTGGGACACTCGGCTCCTCTTCGCTTAGCATTTCCTATATCATCCTATAACACTGCTTTGTTTATCACTAAAATATTCAAATGAGTTCTTGGATCACAGTCTGATACATAGTGACTAGACACAAATGTATTTCATGGTAAATATTCATGCAATGAGCCATATTCACAGCAAGAGCGATATAAATGGGAACTTTCTCGTAAAAGACGTCCTTTTCCATCACATTTCCACATTGTTTCATCATTCATCTGTCTATCAGAAATCATCCAATTCTTCCAAATAGCACAACAATAGCTTCAACCAAATATATGTTATCTAAATCTTGGCCTTTCACTTAGACAAACCTTTCCCCTATGACATACAGTAAAGCAAGTTGCTCATATAATAATGATGTCCTGGTGTTGGCACTATATAATGCATAAAACAGAAGCAGAAGTCTTTGTCTTTGTCAGCGGGAATCATTTCATCATTTGCCAGTAGGGTGGCCATATGTGCCGTTCATACGGGACACGTCCTGGCCAGGATTTTTATATTGCCTAAAACATCCAAAGTAGTTTGACCAATAACATGCAGCTATTGTATATAATCGACCAATCGTGGCGCGTGAGAAGGTGAGATCAACGGAGAACGATCAAAGCGATGCAAATACGCGCACGTGTTTGTTCGTTCGTTCGACTTGAAGCGTCGCTGCGCACCGATGATTGAATGACACCAAAGTACCACGAGAGCGATTGGAAAGCATAAGGAGCCGTCTGCTCTGCTCTCTATAGCTCTCGTGAATGTCATACAACCATTGATCTGCACAGTGCAAACAGCCAAAACCTGGATATTTTAGGCAATATAGAAATCCTGGCAAGGACGCGTCACGTAAAAATGGCCCGTATGGTCACCCTATGACTACCAGGCAAACACTTCCTGTGTCCAGACCATATCTTTACGCGTTTACAGTTGTTAATAACATATAAGCCTGTGAAATTCAGTAACACGAAAATATTTCCACCAAGCAGTGCAAACAGCCAAAACCTGGATATTTTAGGCAATATAGAAATCCTGGCAAGGACGCGTCCCGTAAAAATGGCCCGTATGGTCACCCTATGACTACCAGGCAAACACTTCCTGTGTCCAGACCATATCTTTACGCGTTTACAGTTGTTAATAACATATAAGCCTGTGAAATTCAGTAACACGAAAATATTTCCACCAAGTAATCTTAACTTAAAAACTTACTGTCACTTATTTTTTTTCTTTCTTTAAAGGCAGAGTAAGTGATTTCTGGTAGCCAATGTTGATATTTGAAATCACCAAAACAAACACGCCCCTACCCCAAAAGGGTCTTGCCCCTATTTTGATAGCTCCGCCCCACATATACGTACGCAACCCAGGCAATTAGAATCAGAATGAGCTTTATTCACCACTTAAGTGTGCGCAAACACAAGGAATTTGTTGTGGTTTTACAGGAACTCTTGGTACATACAGTACATACATACAGATAACCATATATATATATATATATGAGACACAAGATAGTTATAGTTCACAGAACTGACTCAGCAACAGCTAACAGAGTAAAACTGTTTCATCTGAGCATGTGGCACTTTAAGCGTTATCGTATCGGATATTGAATATCGCATTATTTAATGAGTTATCGCATATCGCATTTTTCTTCAATATCGCACAGCCCTACTGCAGACCATATACACTCTATTGTTCAAAAGTTTGGAGTTCGTAGGATTTCTGTTTTTAAAAGATGTCTCTCATGCTCACCAAGGCTGCATTTATTTGATCAAAAATACAGTAAAAACAGTAATATTATTACTAATAGTAATATAGTTTTCTATTTGAATATATTGTAAAATGTAATTTATTTCTGTAATGAAAAGCTGAATTTTCTACAGTCTTCAGTGTTCCTTCAGAAATCATTCTAATATGCTGATTTGCTGCTCAAGAAACATTTATAATTATTATTATTAATGTTGAAAACAGTTGTGCTGCGAGATGAGGTTTGCTAATCATTGTTGCAGACTAGGGCTGTGCAATATATCGAAATTATCGAAATATCGCAAATGTACATATCGCAATATTCATATCGCTACATATTAATGTTGAAAACAGTTGTGCTGCTTCACATTTTTTTGTGGAAATTTTTTTCAGGATTATTATTTTTTTTTTATAAATAGAAATTTAAAGAAAACAGAAATATATTTGTAACAATGTAAATTCCTTTACTGTCACTTTCAACCAATTTAATTTACTACTTTTGATATTTTATTTTGATATTTTGCATATTTTAATATACATGTAATTTCACTGACCCCAGACTTTTGAACGGTAGTGTAATTAAGATACAAAAATATATATATTTGATGTAAAACAGTAAAATTTTGGGGAAAAAAAGAAACAAAACGTTGGGAGGAAAACAGAAATTAAAAGACGACTGAGAATAAAAGCAAAAGAAAGCTACGGGTGTCGTTTTACCTGAACTTCTGCAAAACATCATCTCCATCTGGAAAGCTACAGGGTTTTGAAAAAGGGATCTTAGAATGCGTAACAATGACATTTGTGCATGTCTAGAACTACTGACATTAAATGTCACGAAGGGAAGAGACTCGAAATGGCGTGAATAATGCAAGGATTTTAAAGAAGGACAGTGAAATGCTTCTGGAATATTATTAATGGCGGTGCTACCTGGGGACATGGTTAGGCGTGACACCAGGGCTGGTGGGATTCTCGGGGAAATCCTGGAATAAACATGATGGAAAGAGATGAAGATGACCAAACCCAGGCTGAGGCCAATTCACCTCCAACTTACTGCATTGTAAAAATGAAACTAAATATTGCTCATTAAACAAATATATTTAAATATATTTACTAATTAAATATATTTAAACATATGTAATTACATATATATAAAAATATATTTTACATTTTTTTTAATTTCTTTGATTTGAAAATGAATTGACCATCACCAGATTTATGACAAAATAATACCGTGCTGAAAAGCAATGGTCCAACGGTTTAAAATCATGTTGTTTCTCTAAAATATGCATTTTGAGTAAATTATCTAAAGTTAAATGTTTCATCGAGTTATTTTAATGGATGACAATAACTTCAAAACATAATATAAAACAGCACCTGAACTATGATTTCAAAATCATGAGCATACTTTACAGTGGTAAACATTTTGAATACCATGCTTACCCAGACTAATTTCACACTGTCAATTCTAAAGTCTCCTCAGTGTATTCTAATGTACGATCAGTGATGTCCTGGTGCATGCTGGGAATGGGTACATGATTTTGTCTGCTATGGTATGATATGGTACAATAATGGTGAATGACGCTGATGTTGTGGTACACTATTTAAGTGTTCTGTCATATTGCAGTTTGCTCATATAAAAAAAAAGAAAAAAAGAACATTCGGTCATCATTTACTCATCTTCTGCAACAGCTCTTTATCATACAACGTCAACACGGCTGTGTCAAGTTTCAAAAACAACCTAAAATCACCATAATAAGAGTCCTACTGTAGAAGTGCTTGACTTGAATGATTATATGCTTTCACTTTATGCCAAAGAACACAGAACATAATTTATGTTACTTGGAAGGAATAAAGAGAGTCATACAGGTTTGGAATGATATGAAGATGAGTAAATGATGACATTTTAATGTTTTTGTAAAAACGTTAATCTGAACATTGGGAAAAAAAGCTTCTTGGATTAAATATTATCCTTTCATCAGTGTTAGAATCCAGGCGCTGGAAAAGAAATCCTGAACCCAGAATGTTCTTGGTGTTCCAGAACCTCTAACTTTCTAACGAACTAAATAAAACATTTTGAAGTAAATAAATTAAATGAACAGTACTTCACTAACAGATCACAAGCGCTGAGTCTGGGCTAAATAAATACTGTATGTATGAGCTGTTGATGCGTGTCTCGATCCCATTCCTCCTTTCTCATCCCTAATTTTCTGTCTACACTCCACATCTTTATATGAAATAAATAAAAAGTCAACCAATGTAGAGCCATGCAAGGCCATAGGCATGACCTGAAGGACAGAGCGAAAACATATATAAACCTTATTATTAGCTTGGCTGTAAATATTAATTAGGTGACATGAGTCCTAATTTATTCAATGAAGAGCACAGACCATCTACTCATTTGATCTAAATCGGATACAAGGTTTGTCACGAGCGAAGGGTGATGAACACACTTAACATTTCGAAAACTTCCCCGTTTCTGGTTTTGATTTTTGTCCTACGTCTTTTGTGGAAAGGCCATCTTCATCAATCATTTCCCAGAATTTGAGCCAAAGACAAAAGGCAAGTAGGTGCATGCAGCATTCAAGAGGACAATCCAAACAAACAGAAACACTAAAAATATCAACAAAACACAGAACTTATTTTTGTGTCACTCAACACAATGACACCATTTTTTGCGCATGCAGAGCAACACAGGAAACACAATTACCAGATTGTCACTAGCGCTCCGATGTGGCCGTCTCTTGCGTAAAAATGGTCCCAGCACTTTGTCCTTAAAAACCTGCAAAATGGTGCAACATTTATAAACTAGATAAAAAAGTTAGTCAAGACAAACTTTAGGTTGGCTTGAGAGAGCCTAGCCTCAAAGTTTAAAGCAGTTGTAAAAGCCTGAAGTTTGAAATTTTGATAGATTAGATAGATGTTGATAACATGTTTCTAGCATGATAAGCATGTTTTAGCATGATTAGCCTGTTACTAGTATATTGCTGGCATGATTAGCAATTTACTAGCATGTCGCTAGTATGTTTCTAGCATGATTAACATGTTGCTAACAAGATTACCAAGTTACTAGCATGTTTCTAGCATGATAAGCATGCTCCTAGCATGTTGTTAGCATGATTAGAAAGTGACTAGCATGTCGTTAGCATGATTATCAAGTTACTAGCATGTCGCTAGCATGTTTCTAGCATGATTAACATGTTACTAGCATGTGGCTAGCATGATTAGCATGCTACTAGCATGCTAGCATGATTAGCAAGTTACTAGCTTGTCACTGGCATGTTTCTAGCATGATTAGCAAAGTGACTAGCATGTCGCTAGCATGATTAGCAAGTTACTAGTATGTCGTTAGCCTGTTTCTAGCATGATTAGCATGTTACTAGCATGTTGCTAGCATGATTAGCTAGTAACTAGCATGTCGCTAACATGATTAGCAAGTTACTAGCATGTCGCTAGCATGTTTCTAGCATGATTAGCATGTTACTAGCATATTTTTTTATGATTTTTAATCTTCAGTTTTATGAAAAGTAAGTCGGATCAGTCTGAAAAGATATAGCAACCCGAGTAAGATCAGTCTGAAGAGCTGGGCTGAGTTTGGTGGTTCTAGCTTGAAAGCTCTAGGAGGAGTAGCGTTCAGAAATTTAGTCTCATAAGAATAATAATAAGAAGAAGCTTAAATAGCAGATCAGTAGGTTGGCTTTCTCAAGCCAACCTAAATATACTATAAGTAAATTATTTGTAACCATGAGCACATGAAAAGAAATGACGAAGTAGTCAAGCAAGAATGCAACAGACCTCATACAAATAATCAAATATCTCCAATATGGTCAAGACACTGGCTCCTATAAACAGACCCATCTGACCACCAATATCACCTGAGAGAATATAAAAACATAATAAAAAGTCAAATATTAAAG